TGGAATCTCTTCAGCCAACACTTCCACTCGAAATGGAAGTAAGCTCAACAATTATGAAACAAGAGATTCCCCGAAACCCCACTTTTCTTCGCATCAAATGGGAAAAATCAACTGCCAGTCCTGCATTACCTCAAACGAAATCGCGTGAATTCACCTCAAACTACCTCCACTTATTCGTCACCCCATCTTTGCTCCTCACTCCCATCATTCTCACACGCATTCTCTCATCCTCCTCCTCCTCCTCCTTCTCCTACGCCGCCTGCCATGTTGGTCTTTTTCCGGTTGGCGCGTTTCCGTTCCGAGCCTCAATCCCGTCCCCTTCGATGCCACATCATCTCGACCCAGAACTCTTCGCATCCGCCGTTCCTGCTCAACCGATTCGCCGGCGTCGTTCACCTCGACCCGAGGCAACTGGCAGCCGAGTCTGCATTTGACGGTCCGGAGGAGGCGATCATTCAATTCGGCCATCTCTGCGTCGGCTCTAGCGCTTTTCGGTGATCCGATCAACGCCTCGATCCGTCGCAGTCGCCGCCATTTTGTCGAGACTGGCCATTCAGACGAGCGCGGCTGCTTCAAAACGCCTCGCCGCCACGCCTGACGCCTTCTCGTTCGTTTGTCGAGCCGATCGATAAGCAGCGGATGGCGCAGCATTTGATTGGTCCGATCAATAAACCGATCGATGCAAGCGTCTCATTGCATTCGAGACTAGCGAAGCGGTCAGAACACAGTTCAGCAGCGACACTTCAGTCCGTTTCTGCTCCTCCCTCTTGTCCCTTCCCTTCCCTTCCCTTCCCTTTCCCTCCCTGCCCTTTCCCCTGGCACCCTCCTGCCACGTCTCGTCCAGTTGCTCTTTGCAAATCTGACACGTAATGTCCTCAAGTAGGCGGCTCCAGAGATGCTTTGATACCAATTTTATTGTGAATTTTGTCTAAATTGTCTTTCTTTTTCAGACTTCGTCACGCTGGCCATGAGCCCAAATCACAAACCGATGATTGTAAGTCTCTTACTCTAACACGCACACACACACGCACAAACAGCCATTCCATTCCATTCTAATGTGCCCTTGTCGGTTACCACTGAAATTGGCACCTTTTCTTTTCCCTTTTCGCAGGATATGACGAGAACCACATCCCAAGTCATTTATATCATCATCTACGAACAGAATCATGCTGACTCGAACAGATTCCGCAATTACATGATGCTAAACAAACAGAAGATCAAGGCTTATGGCTCCGGAGAGTGCATAGGACTGTCTAAAGTGAGTTTTGTTCTCTCGTTTTCCTTGGCCTCATCCCATCCTCTCCAGCTTCTCACAGACTGAAATCTCGCCTCTTTCATTTCCGTCACAGACAGCCCGAAAGCACTTGCATCATTTAATAACTAGCACCTCTTTCGGCGTTGACGCGTCTTTGCAGCGACGTATCCTGTCCTCTTGCCTTGACAACTGACAGAATCACGAAGACAAGCCCTTGGCTCTGCTTCAGTAAGGCAGAACTGTTGTTCATGTTTTATGATCGGGAAACCTGGAGTCTTGACTCATCTGCCCAGCCATTTTGAAAACTCCCCCTTTTGCGTCTACTCGCGAAAATGGAGAGTTCACCGAGTTTGGACGCAGTTGCTTTCGTGCTTCACGCCCCACCAAAAGACTAGTAGTACCGTGGCATCTGCTCTCAGACTGACAAAAAACGAGAAGACGAAAGCAGGCGACGTAGAGGCTGTCAAGTGTGCGTGGCTACGTGGCTGTAATGTAAATGTAGATACGAAGAGAAACTTTATTTTGATGAATCTCCTGAGATAACATTGTTAGGGGGACCTTCATTTCGAATGAAAGTGCATGAAGAAGAGATTCGTTGCTCGATCTCACCAGATGGGGACGGACTTAGGCAGTCTCAGTAAAAGATTTTCTCTTGGGTTATTAGGTCTTAAGGATCAGAACAGAAGATTTAGGAACCGTATTGTATATAGACGCCAGCACACACAAATATGCATTCTCATACAATCGAGCAAAAATAGAAGGACCAGTATGAAAGAAAATTAACAAAACTACCCTAAATCGATCTATCTAGGTTTTTTAATTTTTAATTTTTGGCTCGATTGAGTCTTTATAAGAAGTAAGATAGAGCCGAATAGTATTCTTGATTTAGTGTTAACGTGAGAATTTTACAAGAATGACACGCAGTTCTGATGATGTCCATCATATGATGGACGAAAGCTCAGCATGTTTCCACCCGAAACGAGGGAGGAAGTCTCGTGGATTGTATAAACAGGAATATCGTCTAAAAGCCAAAATGCTGCAGTACGACGAGTTTCATCCGTCCTCATCTGGTGAGATCGACCAACGAATCTCTTCTTCATGCACTTTCATACGAAAGTCCCCCTAACAATGTAAATGTAGTTTATGTGTGTGTTTGTGTGTGTGTGTGTTTTGTGGTGGTGATGATGACGGGCGGGCGATAAGCAAGATAGGTCAGTAGAGGTCGGACAACTGGTGTTGTGTAAGAGAGAGAGAAGCGTGGTGCCTTGAAGTACTTATTTAATTGGCACAAGTTGAAGCGGCATAATGAAAATTCAAAAAGAAGGCGGACTCAGTTGAGTGTTTTCGAATCTCTGACAAGGTTGCTGTAGCATCAAGCGAAAGGATCTTCCACATGCGACTTGTTGAAGCACGAGGCTGACGAAAAAACAAGCGAGGCAATGGAGAGAGAAAATTTGAGTAAAAGCCAACACCGAAAGGACAGGATCAAGCGGAGAGGTCTGTTCGGTAGGCAGACCTCGGTGCTTTATACTCGGCATGGTGCGAATGCTGGCTTTTGACTGGCATCACCTTTCCGTTTGGTCCAATGGAGTGCTCGAAGCTGCTGACGAGAAGTGATTGGCTGACAGTCACAGCGAATGAACTATGAGCACAGGTGCTCATAAATAAATGCCCATAATGATTGTGAGTAGACTGAGATACCACGTTGAGCTGATAATTGAATTTTCCCACAATCATACGAATAGGCTACTAGTTCCAATTCAATTTCGCTTAGCTTCACCTCCGAAGAGGTATCCTTATCCCGAGTTTCATCAACATGCCCTGGATTCTATTTCTTTTGGGATGCTAATGTGGTCCAGGAAAGGTCGCAATTGTGGTCAATCTGTCGTTTTCACTCGAAACGAGGGAGGAAGCCTCGTGGACTGCGTCAACATGAAAATCGTATAAAAGCCAATCGGCTGCAGTACAATGAGTTTCATACGTCCTCATCTGATGAGATCGACCATGCACTCTCATTCGAAATGAAGGTCCTTCTAACAATGTTATCTCAGGAGATTCATCGAAACCAAGATTCTTTTTGTATCTAAAAGTTAATTTCAATGGCTGCGCCAGGCCTACTTTATAACTTCACGCGGCCTAGGGTAGCTACAGTTCTTGGTCTAGTGTACGTCGATTTCTAAATGAAAATGAGATTTAAAAATGATATTTATAGAGTGCACAGTAAGCTTCTACCAATGCAAGAGCTCCCAACGCAGGAGGCGGACAACTTGATAGGATAGTGAGCAATCGGGAGTCTGATGGCCGAAACGTTGATCGGCGTTGGCGTAGATCTCAGACTTGGCTGATAGACCATTCCTGGGCAAATGAGTGAGCTTTAGCCAAGCGAGTACACTTTAAGTAAGAATAAAGAGAAATGCTTTACAACCACACGAATTTTTATCACTTTCTTGCTCTGCACATTTTAATGTGATTGCGATTTTGTTTCTTTCACCTTCACAGGGTGTCAGGACGCTGGATGGCTTCTTCCAGGACAAGCATCGTATCGGCCTGCTCATATTCGACGACTTGGAACAGGCCAAGAAATACGAGGAATCCACTTTGAAATACAGAGACGCTCAATCTTTTGGTGGCATCGAATTGTTTCGAGTCCCTTTGGCTCTGCCTGTGCTCTCAATCAGAAGTACGTTAAACCCAGGGGATCTCGGGCAACATTATGAGATCTATACAATGCCCATATATTAAGTGTTTTTTCCCATTTCTTTGTATGCTGCCATGTTGGCTACTGTGACAGGGCGACCAGTCACGTTTGATAATTTGCTTTCAGACGGAAGAAACTGGCATTTAGACCGGACCGGATAGCACGAAGTTTGGGTTCATCCCATTTTACCTGACGTGTAAACAATGTTGCAAATAGTAAAGAGTAGCTCAGCAAATTGGGCTAATTTGAGACCTTTTCTTGTAGCATTTAGTCAACTCTGGAGCCTTGCAGAAAAGACTGATAATGTCTCCTTCATGCCTTTGCCTCCCAATTCCTTCCCGCCCTCACCACCACAACCAACAGGCACTCAATTTTGCCAGATTGACTTCTACTCGGTGCGCAGCACAGAATCATTCACCAAATTTCTGTTAAAGTACAACGAAATGGTGCGTGAAAGCGGAGGAGTGATGGTGGCTGGATCTTCGCAGTACGGCACTTGGATGAAGGAATCTCAACCGACATTCATTTGCATGGTTCAATGGAATAGAGTGTCAGAGTTCGAGGACTGTTTCATGAAGGGTAAGTACATTTCAGGCCTACCGCCAAAGAAAGTCTTAAATATGCTTTCTGTTGTCGGGGCTTAATGTGCTCAAGCCCAGCTCTCTGAGTCACAAATGCTGTTCCAATGATTGGTAGATGGAAAAAGAGAAAGGCTTACGTCTAGAACAAGAAATGGGCGTCGAGGTCTTCTAGTCCCAACTGAAGATGAAGAGAATTCCCAAATTCGACATTGGATTATATTTCTCCTTGTCCGCCTGTTCCTCCCTTCCTGACTCTAATTGTGGACATGCTGCATGATACCGAAAAGAAACTAGTAGTAATTGACGCCTTGACAACTCAGAGTAAGGGATAACGCAAAAAGATGTTTGGTCAAATGAATAAGTACTCAGCCGTAAAGCTGGGCCTACCTCTGGCAGACTGGACGAATTATTTTTAAT